ACATACTGAATGATGAAACAATGGCTTTTGCTCCTTGGTTTGATTAGACTATCAATGCTCTTCCACAAGAGTTATTAGGACAGAGATTATACAATCATATAAAACCAAATTAGGTAACTACTTCAAAAATAAGCTAAAGAACAGCAAATTGAAGGGATAGGATGATAACACAAGTTGAAGCAATATCACCACCACTAAGGACTGCATGACCTCATTTTGCTCTGTAATTTCCATGAAAAAGATAGATTCAGATATGCATAAAGTAGGGAGCACCCCAGTGGTTGGAGCAAAAAAATTGCATTTAATGTTCAACAACAAGTGAATTGAAGGGAATGCCATCATGACATTCAGTATACTTAGCACCTAGCAAAACTGGGCAAAAGCATAAGGGAATAAAATGTTGTGGAGAACAGGTGTGTCCTAAATTAGCATTTCAAATAATGCATCAGCTTGTCTGAGATAAAATCAGCTATGTTGAAAGCACCTATCTACTCAAAAATGCTGTCGGAGATCCAATGGAAATGATTTCACTCTCACTTTCCACCATCAATATTTCTGTTTTGCTTTGTTCCTGCTACCAAACTAACTACATTTTTCTACTAAATAAATCTGAAAAAAGCTTATTAATGACACCAGAACTCCAAATAGCAAAGACATTTTAAGATTTATGAAGTGCACGACTATACATAGATAAAGATTTATTTTAAGGTTTTTGACATGTGAGATTTATCAATGCATATTGGTCCTGTGAGTAGCATACCAGGCTACCATCATTGGATTGCAAAACAAAATTCAAGTGGTAAATAACTATCCTGAAAGCACCTGGCTAATTTTGTTTTTATTTTATTTAACTTTTATTTACGCTAATTTATTAGACACTTATTTCTATGCACATCAAATGAGAATTAGATAAGAATTTCAATTATAATAGATGATTTGATATTAAAACATTATGAAATCAGCACACGTTCAAGTGAAACAGCCTGCTTTCAGGAGTTAAGAAAATTGGTGCATAAAAAGCATTTCCACTCCCATTATATCACACCTGTCAACCCTAATCTAGAATTGAAACACTTTACCATTACAACATTATAGGAGACATTAAATGATCATATGCTTGAATGCTTCTGTTAGCAAATACATTGGACTTTGTGGCCAAATTTTCCGATTTAATAAGTTTTCAAAGACAACAATATTAGGAACAGTATTTTTCATCTTTATATAAAAAGATTTTTGATGAACTTTAGCTCATAGCACCAAAGCTACATCAAAGTATTTGAAATGTATTGTTTTATCTTTTAATCTTTGCTTTTTTAAATTCTAGCCATTGTTAATCATTTGATTCAATAAATAAATATTATTTGATTTTATTCTAAGCCTATTGTACAGATTTTTTACTATGTAGACAGTGAAGCAAGTACTGAAAACAATAATGTGCTGTTGATGCAGCTTGGAGCTGGAGGAACTCAGCAAGTCAGGCAGCATCAGAGGAGTAGGACAGTCTTCATGAGTCCTGAAGAAGGGTCTAGGCCTGAAACGTCAACTCTCCTACACCTCTAATGCTGCCTGACCTGCTGTGCTCCTCCAGCTCCACATTGTATTGACTCGGACTACAGCATCTGCAGTTCTCGCTATCTCAGAATAATATGCTGCATAATAAATGCTAGTGAATGAGGATCGGCAATGTATCCATAAATGTGATCTTTGAAATATAGCTGGAACATATTTCTCATCATTTGCACCAAGTCCTTGCTCCACCGCCAGAAAATTATTAATCACATTTGCAGATCAAAATACCCAGAAATAAACTGAGTCAAGAAATGTTAAACAAGTGACCTGACCTCATAGGTTCCAAGAAACTGATCACAAAATGTTACATTACAAGGGACCATTCTTTAAAAGTACTTCACTAGCCACATTGAGACATCCTGTGATCATGAATGGTGCGAAATAAGTGCAAGCCTTCATTTTTTGATATTTAAACATGATTATGCGTTTTTTTAATAAAATAAGCTGTTTTTTTTTTAAAAAATACTGAGTTCTTATGGCTCAAATGTTGTGGATTTGTGCTGTGTGGTCAAGTCTTCAAGTGACATTAATGTTCTCAAATATACTGGGATCAATGATTATTAACAGTAAAATATTTTGATACTCTATGTGGCCTTGCCTTGGGGAACAAAAAGCAAATCTGAACCATTTGTCTGGTTTTTGGTTTATATAGGATAGGAGAACTGTGTTGCTGCTTCCTACTCACAAGAAATTGATAGTTCATGTTGTAAACATCACATTAAATAATATTTAGAAATTAAACTCTTAGTTTATACCTTCTTTATTTTCATTTTTTTTTTCAATTTCCCTAGAATGTCTACCTATATCATCTCTGGCTCAAGTACAGAGCTACAAGTACTGAGCTCCTAGATACTTATAAACCGTTACTAGTAGATTGTCAATAGCCTTGACATAGTGGCTAGGAATATATTTTTCCTTTAAAAACTTACCCCCACCACATGATAAAACATACGCATATTATTCTCTTTACGTGAAATAACTCAGATCAAAAACTCGACACAGCACAAACTTAAATATAAACTCCACGGTGTTGAATGTTAAAGTTAAAACAAGCTGGTGGAGATGGTCATGATTTTGGTTTCAAAAAAATGATGAAAAACAGATTATTTGATTTAGTTTGTGTGATGGATCAGGCACAAAACAGAAAAATTGCGATTTTCAAAAAGCATTCAGAAAGCACAATAACATGAGTGCATTAATGGACTACCTTGCGCTCCCTATTGTTTCCCCAGGTAGTTCTCTATTTTAGCCAGGTAGAGGAAGATACTAATTGGAGAGAATCTGCTTCTGGGGGAAGATCTGGAAACACAATCAGGAAATTCAACTTTGTACTCATGTCCAACTCAAGAACTATTTGTGGAGATTTGTGAACAGGTGATGGTTTAAGGTTTTTGGTTTAAGGATTCCATGTACATACAACTTTGTCTCACAACTTCTTGGTAAAATATCTGAGTTACAACATGGTGAGAATTTATTGCAGACCTAATGAGGGGAAAACAAGTGCAGGCAATTCCCTTTAACATTATCTATGGAGTTACAGAAGAAAATACCTGTTAAATCAGATTTGCTTTAGTATTTCCATGGTTTAAATTACTGTTACAAAAGTTCCAACGCAGAAACAGTTTAATAATTAACTTGGCTCCAAAATCATTCAGTACAGCAGAGACAAATATAGGCAGCTATGTGTTAAATCTATTCATTGAGGTCCAGTCTTATTGGTGCATTCCCAGCATAAACAAAAATCAGCATACCTGTTGGATATTTAGGTGAGTTTAGGTCTTTAAACACCTATCTGAGTCTCTTGCCATATTTTTCCCTTATAATTGTCCATTGGACTGCTTTTTGCATTTAAATTCTGAATTGCAGCGCCAAACGCCTGTCACGGCTCAATTTTGGGAAAGGTCTGGTTTCCTTGCCTTTATCAATATTGTGAAATAATCAGAAGATAAAACAACCAAAAGGTATGACACTTTAGTCTTCATTACAAATATTCACAAAGCCACTCTCTCATAGCTTTACGACAGTACACATCCTGGAAGCTAAATAAATGAATCCAGATTCAGGTTTATAATAAGAATGACATTCACTAATTAGCTGTTGATTGGGTGATTTGTAAATAACAGTTAATGAATTAGATGTCCTTTTTCCCCAATTAGGCGCATCAGAACAGAATGATAAGAAAATATCTATCCCCAAAAAAGATAGCTCAATACCTTGTCCTTCAAGGTGAAGATTGTACAATCATAGTGTTCTCTATATTTGTTTATTTGGTCTGTTTAGTAATTGCTCTGAAACAACAACTGAATATGAAATTAAATATGCTCGCATGTTTTAAAATGAAATATTACCTTGCAGAAAAAAGTGCTGTATATTATCTTACAGCTGTTTTCTGCTAATTAGTCCCAATGGATGAACAATTGCCAATACTGCACTGAATTGGTTAAATATCTTGCTTGACTACAAATACACCCTTTGATTCCATTGTATTAGAGCAACCGGTCTGGAATGAAAGAAAGGCTTTTTCGCAGGTTTTGTTAAATCTTAAAGCTTTCTACTTCCAATAAAATTATTTCAAAGTATTCAACATTATTGTTTGGAGTACTATCATTTAATTTTCCCTTTGGAGACTGTCCGAACCTTCTGTCTTGATACAAGTGACATTTTTGCTTCCTACTGTTCAAGTCAAGCTGTTTTTCTCCATGTTAATTCAACCCTATGCACGGCTGACCTGAACTCTCACTTTCGTCTTACAGAGAGCAATCAGCTATAGATCACACATGTACAGTGAAGATACTGTGCAGGGCATCCTGCTATCTTCCGCTTGACTGTGGACACAGTCTGCAAGATAGAAATGATCCACAAGTATGCTGTGTGCTCTTACATTAAAAATCTATTGACTTTATTTTAAAATGTAGATTGGCCAGGGACTGACAGCTGTCCCAGCAAAAGGTTTTTTTTTACACTTGAGTTGAGCCCACACACAAAGCCTACTCAAACCTGCCAGCTTAGTTTAATACATCCAATCCCCACAACAGAATCTTTGAAGGACAGAGATTTAGGAACAGAAAGGGAATGGTTCACAACAAAGAGGAAAACCCCAAAGGATTAATTTGTCTTTTCATAATTCATATCAGCAAACGTGTGAATGGTCAAGTAAGTCACATTAATATGATTTCATTTTAACCTTGCTCTTTTAAGGTAAACTATTTAAAATATTAAACACTCCAGCAGCTCTCAAAACAAAGAACTGCTTCTTTCAAATATGCAGACATAAACCAGGGACATGCCAATTTTATACTAAAATATGCATTTCATAAGTCAAATCATGTGAAAGAAACACATTTGATTCATCCAGAAACTGTTACACTTTTTTGTTAAACTGGCCACTAAAACCTATAAGCAACATCCATTCAACTAAAAAAGTGACCTACCATGATATTCTTGACCAGGCACATAATATTCTGGATTTCCCACAATATGAAGTGACATCAACACCTCTCCCTGTTCTCCATCGCCCTCCAGTTCTCCATGGTGGGTACAAAGGAAAAAAAATGGGGCAAACCTTGGGTAAAACCCCACAGATCCACATACAAAATCTGTCAAGAATATTCCAACCAGAAAGAATAAAGTCCAAGATTTAAAGCATCGTTCTTTAGCCATTTCTCTATCCTCTTCAGATTCCGTTCTGCTGGAAACCGATTGTTGAGAATGAGTTTTTTTTGCTGTATTAAAGAGATTACAAGTTTAATGTCAGGGAGCTTCTGTTGGGAAAGTCATAAGCCAGGAACTGCCAGCTGTCAGCTGTTTCTACTGCATTCTAATACATCAGCTTCATAAGCTGCAATACAGCTTTAGAATACGTCTTCCTCAGAGCATATTGTATTCCACTTTCCAGCCCCCTCCCACGTGCCTCAAGGCGCGTCTTTTTTTTTGTTAACTTTTTTTTAGGAAGGCAAACGCCTTCCCTTCAGTCAGAACACAGACTAAAACCGGGAGCTGATCAGGCATAAAATGCAGCGACTGGAAATAATTTATTTCCCCTGCTGCTTTTACTGGAGTGCTGAAAAACTCCACCTTCTCAGATTAACATCAGACAGAGAAAGCCATTCCTCACTCATTCTCCGAGTGTCCAAAATGGGAAATCTCATATTTATGCCTTGCCTTATCACTAAATAGACAAATCACAAAATCTGAACAGCAAACACCAAGCATTGCAAGTCCAATGACATACACTGAAACATCACTTAAATGCTGTTTCAGATCTAAAGTACTGACCACAGCAGACCTTTGATTTTTCTGTAAAAGGTCAGTAGTGTGCTTGACGCACAGTTGTATAAAAACCCCTTGAAAATCTAGGTTTACCCTCAATAGATATTGGAGTCTTCTTAAAAAAAAAATTTTTAAAAGATTAAATACTAAACTGCCAAAATAATTATATAATGCTGCAAACATGTCTCAAGGCCATTATAACAGCAATACAATTATATAATATTGTGATATTTAAAGTTGTTTTTATTGCCTAAGTGATGACCTCAAATGAAAGTCCTATCATCCTTATCAACACCAATTCAGAGTACAGAAAACAACCAATGTACAATAGGAAAGGAATTATTTGATCAAATAGGCAAAATATTTTGAATGGTAACATAAATTAAAACATTAAAGCTATATAAAAACTGATTAAGTGGGCCACAAGATCTGTGGAAGCTTGAATTAAACCACTTAATAACTGCAGAGACTCTAATTAAACATTGGATTCACCTCTTATTCTAAACTTAGCCCTGATAAAATTAAATAATTTATCTACTGATTTAAAGTTTAAGTTCTGGTAATTAGTGAGCTCAAAACAGCAGTCTAGATGTTTACAAATGGATTTTAAATTCAGCTGCTCTGATATATTCCATAGCAGAGGGCAAGAGAGAGTCAATGTTATGATAATTATTAATGCCATGTCAACAGAACTTTAACCTTACAGCAAAAAGGTTTACACAAGTACCAGTGTACATTTCATAGTCAACTGTTAAATTACTCGTAACAGTTACATTAAAAGATGATTTCTAATAGCTTGTATGTTAATTTCTGCCTAGATGGATACCTCCAATATACCAGGTAGTTAATTTTATATTAGCTATATATTAAAGAGGCGTTTGGAAACTTTAAAGATATTCAGAATCTTACTATTTGTAATATAAACTAACAAGAAAAAAAAAGCAATTTTTTTGCTTGCCTGCTTTCTTCATTCAACTAATTCAAAGATCTTTTAACTGTTTAATTGGCCTGAGATCATTCTCTTCGTACTCTGAAGGTCCTGCATATGGCTCAACACCAACTTAATTTTTCTATTCATGAAATTATCTAATTGATACTATAGAGTTTATTGACATTTAATCAGTGCAGGTTCAATTAGTTAAGCATTTCTATTAACTGATGTAAAGTGCAGTAAGACCCAGTTCTATTTCACTTTGGAAACTGATCAGAAATAAGATTCATTGAAAGACATTCAGTAAAAAGGAAAAAATTTGCAGTGGGTAATTTGTTCAATTATCTGATGAATGGGGGTTGTTTGTTTCTATTCAAGTGTTTTTAATATTCAAAACAGAATTGAAAGCTCTTTGGCTATATGTCCTAATTGTTTGTAAGTTAAGAAAAATGTTACTAAACTACTATAAAACATCTATTTATAACAGTTTAGCTTTGCTAACTATACTCGAGGTCTGTTTGGAGAGATCAACTAATTTGTTTCTGACAACTGTCTTTACATGAGTATTTATCACTGAGGACAATTGATGATATAATGATGGTGCATTTGCAGAAGTAATCCGGCAAGCAAAGATTAGGCATAAACAACTTGCTGGGGCATGAAATGCACAGGTACTAACTATAGCATAAGTGTAGATAGTAATTGAGTAGTTCTAGAAATTGAAAAACTACGATTAAATGCCAATATTTACCTATACTGCTTTCAAGTATCACCACAACAATCCTGCTCTCTACTTCAGATCACCAATTTCAGCAGTGGATGTTTCACATACTGACATATAATTCTTCCAACTTCCCATGCCAAATGTTATCTAGGCAAGCTTACTTCTAAAAGGCAATCTTAAATGCTGGTTGAATTTTCAAACTTTACCTTTGTCTGCTTTAATATTTTGCCCTGCTCCTTCACCAGCACACTGAATGGTTTTAATACAGTAGCAATTTTGTAAACACAAACTACAAAACTGTGAGGAAATGGAGGTAATGGTGAAGAAAAGCAATGCAAAAAAAAATCAGCATCCCAGTTTACATAGAAAAAACTATAACGCTTGAGGAATAATAGCTCACAACTTGTGTTTTTTCAAACTCATTTTAAATTAACTCAGACTGTTTCTCATTGCCAGTATGAATTTCTGTCCATTATTATTAAACCAAGCATTGCCAGAATCAAAACAAAGTTGGGAACTGCATTTATGTCTTCAATAAACACTGCTCAAATAATAATATTTTCTGGCTGTGAATTAATAGCAAGACATGTCTAAAAGAATTATAATTATTATAAAATTATGTTTAGAAGCCACATTTAGTTCACTTCACTGAGAGGTGCTCTGGCTCATAAGCATGGGAATCCACACATTTTGGAGAAAATGTAGTTCATTTAACAAAGCCTCATCCTTCCTCCCATGGGACAGTATTGACAACAGGGCTTCATTAACTCTTACATGACTTGAAACTACAGTCCCAGAGCTGAGCATTTTTGACATGTTGAAAAATGATCAAGTACCAAAGCATACAGATATTTCTCATTTTAATTCAATTATGTGAATGTGCCATTTCTGGTGTTCAAGTGCCTACAATATGCTGTAAATTATGAAAGTATCTTATTGGATTATAATTTGGATTTGACATGTTTAAAATTATGCTTCTTGCACTGATAATATATTTAATATTTGCATTTAGTTGGCATATGGAATTTTTAATATGAACAAAGACAAGAATGTATAATCTCCAATTTTTTTTTTAACAACTATTTCATTTCAAACCTGGTGTTGGGCAACTAACAATTCAAACAGGTTAGACATATATTACAGCACCTACCCTTTCACTTTGGCATATTTATTTGTGATTAAGAACCCTGACATCTTAATGCGTAATATTTCAGTTTTAAACAAATTTTTGTATAACAAGTAAAAATAGATCAAGTAAATAGGTTACAATACCACATTAGATTAGTAATCAAGAACGGTAGTAGAGTTTACTGTATCCTACATAGATCTGCATTAATATATAGCTGGTAACCAAAGAGTGACATCATACGCATTAGCTCTTTAGTAGCACAAATTGACTTAGAGCCACTTGAATGAATGCTGAGTATTCTATGTGCTACATTTACAAAATATTTGCAGGATTTATTATGTGTCAAATATATAGACCAGTGGGGTTTTACTCAGTTTCCACCCCCTCACTGTACTCTAGCTAAAAGGCTTTAGATGGTGACCCTGCTCCTTTACTGAAAATACCCTATGCTTTAGTGCATCCCTTAGCTCGTAGTATAGAACCTTGGAACGTGTCTGCAATATTCAATTGCAGTCAACTCTTTGCACCAGCAAGTTTCAGGCAGCCTAAAGAGAAACTTTCACCAGGTTGATGGTTCTCCAGCAGCAGTAGGATGCTATTCTCTGTGGGTCTCTGCAAACAGCCCATACAGCTGATTAACCTCGATGCAAAACACTGAATCTCTTTCCAGAGGTCACAATAGGCTAGGCCAAATAAGGATGTCATTTCCTTCCCTAAAGGACATCAGGAAATCAGTTGTGTTTCTATGATAATCTGATAGTTCCGAGGTCACACTTACTAATGCCACCTTATATTTCCAGATTTATTTACTGATCAACATTTATTCCAAAGACATTAAGAATAATTTGTCCAATAATTTCCACAATGATGATGCATTCAAAAGTTAATAAATCGGCAAGCTTTATTTTTAAGAATACACCAAAATTTAAATTACTAAAACACATGTTCACTTAATACATTGTGTTGAGCACTAGCACACCATGTATGTACCAAGACCAGTTCAAATATTTGTAGCTCAGGTTGCACAGAAAAACAAGTTGAAGTTCCAAAGGACATGTCACTCAATTAAATCAGTAACTTTTATTCTGCACATTATGCATTCCTACAACATGCATTTGTTAGTAGATTTTCATAGGCTATAAAGCCAGCAATCTCAATGTAAAAGCATCACTGAACTATGTAGACAAATCTTTAGGGTTTAAGCTATTCGCAAATGAACGCTCTGATCAGATCACGTTAATTATGCAAAGGAAATTTCCAAATCCTAGAATGTGGTGCACAAAAAGACTCAGTTGACCATTGTGTAAGAATCTATGAGGTTTTATTTTGAGTTACTGTGAATGAGAACACCCAGTCTTTGACCTGCTCTTGCAGTCACAGAATAGCTAATCCAGCTGAATTTCTGATCAACAGTTATTTTAGAATGTTAACGGAAGTGGATTCAGTGATTGCAATGCCAGTGAAAATCAAGGCAAAAGATAGTTAGATTTCCTTTTCTTGGAAGACAGCATTACCTGAAATGTGAGATGTGAATGTTACTTTCCATATAGCTGCCAAGACTCCATGTTGTCTAAATCTTGCAGCATGGCACTGACTCCTTCAGCACCCAAGGTAAGTGGAACTGAACAGTTTGTCAATCAGCTAGTCAATCAGCTAACATCCTAATTTCTAACATTATGGTGGAGGGAAGGTAATTGATAAAGCAGCTTAAAATGTCCGAATC